GGTAAGACAATGTCACAGTAACGAGTAGTCATACCAACCATACACACTAATATGTGCCCATAAGGTGCCAAGTGGGATAGTTATAAGATATTTAACTATTCAATCAATCATCATATGCCATGTATACCAATCATACATATCACAATGCTAGGCCTATAACCACCTTTATATCCTCTTTATTTCTTATGGCAGAACCAATGGGCTAAGTCAATATTCATATTACTAGTTGCTTCATCAATTAAGTAGTGCGAGTTGGCCAAGCTCACAAGACATATGATTGAACCATGGGCTTTGTCCTTCAAACAAAAAGTCTTATTATTTTTGTAAAAATTTTGGCAGGACTCCTTCTGTTAATAGGACCCCCTGGAAAACTCTACCATAAAATTCTCAAACATAAATCACTCTAACTAGGAGCTCTGCTCCTTCTAATCAACAGACAAAATGTATAACAAAATAAGGACTCTAATTATAGTTTATGTAGAGCACCTAATCATATTTTTGATGACATAATACATAAATTTTATATTTACATCAATAAGAAATATTTATAGAACAAATCTCCACCTAACTCAGCAAAAATCCATCATTGGTAAGCAAAATGTACAGCATTAGCTATGCTATTTGAGACCAAAATACTTTTCAGTGAATAATGTCCTAACCATAAAATTTTACAAGATAAAAATAAATAATTTACAATAGTTATAAAAATTAAAGATAAAGCAATTTTGTCATGCTTCAATACTAAGGGTATGATTAGCATGGAAGATGAGGTGAACTCATATTCCATAAGCCTTGATTGACTAAAGTTTAAGCTAAAATATCAATACATGTAAGTTATATATTAATAATAGTTTGGAAGGTTTAAATGTTTTATAAAAATTTCAGCAATGTCTCCTCTATAATTTAGACCTCCTAAAATTTTTACAATAATAACAAAACCTGCCAACCAAACTAGTAAGGAGACTAGCTCCATTCTAGCAATTTACATAATAACAAAATAAGAATAGGACCTAACTATGGTATATGTGAAGCACTAAGTTATGGTTACAAAATACAATAAATAGTTTTACCAAAACACTAATGGCAATATGGCTCCACTTTTTGTTCTCCTAGAGTTGCAGGGTCAACTACACTATCTGAGACCAAATAAATTTCCAATAAGTAGCATTATAGTCAAAATTATAATAAAGGAAAACTGAAAAAAGTAAAATAATAAATAATAAATTTAACTTCAAATGACTTAATGAAGGAACAAATTATATTATTAAGCTAGAAATAAAAAATAATTTTTTTAATAATATAATCATGAAATTAAACAATGCTAATAAAATCATATATATATATACTAAAATTTTTTCACTGCTCATAAAATATAAAGATTTCCAATAATAGTGTAGTTTGATAAAGTACTTTCAAAAAATTACTAGAGAAATGATAAATCTTAATTTAAAATTTAGGAGGGCTTTGTCAGAATGAATAACAAGCGTGAAAACACAGTCACAAGGTAAGTAACTAGTCAAGCATAGACACACAGTTTACAAGGATAAATAACCAATAAGCACAACTTAAAGCCATGAAATAATCAAACGTGGCTATAAGCCACGAAACAAGCGCGGCAAAGGCCATGAAACAAGTATGAGTACAATGCTCATGAATACCTATCCCTCCGTTCCACGTGCATTGGCTTGCTCACGAGACTAACACCTTCTATAAGCACTCTGCTAGCTAGGTGTATCATGGCACGCTAAGGGCTAATAGAATCGTCATTAATATCTAGTGTTTTGAACTTAGTCCGTCGTTAGTACCCTGCTAGCATGTATGGAACACAAAAATAGTTTCAAAATCTTCAATAGCAAATAATATCCAACTATCATCTGAATATTTTATCCTTTTCTTCATACACAAATCATTGCAATAAATTTTTTATATCAATATAGAATTAAAGAAATAAGTTGCTGTGAGAAATAATACTAGTTGTCATATATCTGTTTCAATCATTGCTTGTCAATAATATAAATCCTTAGTAATATTAACATGTGTTCGTAAATAAAATAGTTATTAGAAGGATAAGATTAACAAGAATACTTTTACAACTTAAAAAGAAATACTAATAATAATAAAAGAAATTTAATTAAAAGGCTTTTATAAATATGCTACCAGAATTTGATTTGAAGCGCTACCCACTCACTTGAGTTTTCAAAAGATTATAGTCAAACTCTCTCAATTTCTTGCTTACTCCAATGATGTCCCAATTTAATCTAACACATAACCCAATAATTCTCATGTCATTATAATTTTTTTCTTTTTATAATAATCAATCTAAATTAATATTTAAGCTTCTTTGACAATTTTTTAAATTCCTCATTAACCTCTTAAACTCTCATTGAACTCACCAATAACTTTTATCATGTAGATCAATCATACTTGGCATCATTCCATTTCAACCATCAACATAACCTTTATTCCAACTTAACAAAAATCTTAATTATTATATAGTCTAATAATTTCACTTTTGGTGCTACACACTTTTTAATGAGCAATTCAATCTTACAAATTGTGTCAGAAAAACATATACTTCCTCAAGTAATATTTATAATTTATTTAAGTTTTACTGTAAAATTTAATAAGCCTTATTTTCACCCACAAATCTTTCAATTATATTAACAATTACTATGAGGACATGCACCATTACTAAATCATGAGGCAAGCATCCAGACAAAACCAACAATTTCCATCTTCTAGTGTCCTTGCCAATCTTAGCTCGGCATATACTAATATAGTATCCAATCCAAACAACACCTAGATGTTCCTACAACCTTAAGACAACAATATGGAGAAACAGAGCACTCTTCCGTCCAATGAAGAAAGAAGGGTAAATCGCACAGCACAATAAAACCCATACTCACGGAAGAAGAAGAATCAACATCTTACCTCAACCAATGCACAGTAGCAGCTGACACACACACAACTCACGGATAGCATGAAGAAAGAGAAAAGGGCTTCAACCCAACTGTCTAAGAGAAGGAGACGGAGCAGATTTCATGGACAAAAAAAAAAAAAAAGAAGAAGCAAATATTAAGCTTTCATCACACATGGATGTTCAGTAAGTGAGGAGGAAGGAAAAGGAAATCTATTTTCCTACTCACCACCGAAAGCTCGTGACGGAGAAGAATGACAAAAAGTTGTAAACATCTCCCTCCACTGTGACAGACGAACCTAGACAGAGAAGAGGAAGAAGGTGACAGCGGTTACAATAGGCTGATAGCAAGGAAAAAAGTCGCGTATTACGCACCTCACTTAACTCCGACTAACCACGTTGACGGGGAAAAAAACTCAGCAACTCAACTTCACGGTGCCGGGCAAACGAAGATGACGACGACAGCAGTAGACAAGGCAACAACGAGAATCCCATGTTTACAGCGAGCTAGGGATGTTGATAAGAGCCAGAGAAAATAACCGACTATGAGGATCCATCTATAGAGTGTATAATGGCGGTGGGAGAGAGAGAGAGAGAGAAAAAATGACGATTACGATGCTCTGTGGAAATAGAATCAGATCAAAAGAAGCTTTGGAAAAAATTACAAAAAGAGCACAGAAAAATCATAAGGAAAGGCACAAAAATTACAATAAAGGGCACAAAATTTTCTTGTGATTCAAACCAAACTTTTACTCAGAAAAATTTAGACTTCAGATCCTGGGTTGTATCCGAAGACATGGAAAGGGATGTTTTTATGTCAGCAGCAGAAGCCCAAGCTCATGGAATTGTTGATCTTGTAGCCTACCCTTTGTTGGTCCCGAGGGACGGAGGAGGCTAGGTTAGCCGAAAGATGGTTATCGGTTCAAGGACGCAAGGTAATACAAATCAATAATTTTTATTTAATATAGCTATTTTTTTTGTGTGTAATGTGGCTTTACTACTGTCTTCTTTATTATTGATAGGAATTCTCTTGTTAAGATCCTATAAAATCGATTAAAAAAAAACCTCAGATTCATACTAAAACCACGATGATTCAATAAAATCTTTAATCTAAGTCCAAAAATTCCCTGAGTAAGAACTATTGGATCATCACTTATTCAATGAATAGAGATAATAAAAAATCCAAATAAACATTTGTCCTTTGATTAAAAAAAGGATAAGCAGCAGTTTGAAAGAATCAAAATCTTTCGATTTATTATAATTCTAACTCCTTGAAAAGATTTCTTAAGTCCGGTTGCGGGGTCTAAATATTAAGTATGAATCATAGTTCTAATACTTTAGAATCCATTTTTTTTATATATTCCGTGCTCCAGATACTAGAATAAATATTCGACGGGATAAAACCATCTCTATCAAGATGACAGACTAACTCTTTGTACTATCAATAGGATCAATTATAACAAGTCACACACTCATATTCCAGAAATACAGAAGAAAAGAAATTCCACGATTGAACTAAACTACCAAACCAAAATAGAATGGGCTAAAAATCTAAGACCCAAATGCTTCACTTTGTATTGAAAAACTAGTTAGTCGGTTCTTGTGAATCTAATTCATAGAAATTCTGTCCAGTAAAATAGAAGAATTATAAATCTCCAAAATAATAGATAGAAATATCGCAAATAAGGCCATTGCAACACACATCAAAGGAGTAGTTCCCCAACTAGGAGCTACTTTACCATATTCTGAATTCAAAGGTTTCAATAAATTCCCTACAACAGTTCATCTTGGACCAGATCTAGAACTACCCTCAACAGTTTGTGTAGCCATAAATCCTATTTTTTATTCATTGAGATCTGTTGACTTTGTATATCATTTCGCTGTAAATAAATGATCTTATCCTAGATCCATTTTGGTCTTGAAATTATATAATAATGGAAACAGCAACCCTAGTTGCCATCTCTATATCTGGTTTATTTGTAAGTTTTACAGGGTACGCCTTATATATTGCTTTTGGGCAACCCTCTCAACAATTAAGAGATCCATTCGAAGAACATGGGGACTAGTTGAAGTAAATTGGGAGGCTCATTACTTCAATTGAGATAATGAAAAATCATTTCATCTTTTTAGTTGGAACTTTAGGTGGTTCTCTAAAAAAGATAGCAAAAAAAATAATTCCTAAAGTCAAAACTAAGAGGAATGTATAAACCAATGCTTCCATGGATTTAATCATGGTTTACAATTATAGCTTTCATACCTGTTTATTTGGGATCGTCTCTTGGATAAAGAAAAAGAAAGAACAAGAGTAAAAGAAAAGGTAGCAATTCAAATCAAGATTTATCCAGTTCCCTATGTCAAATTCCAATCACAAAAAGAAAATAAAGTCCAAAAGGAACAAAATAATGTTGTATCAGACTACTTGTCTTCTTGTAGTTGGATCTCTAAGTTTTTGGAATGCTCTAAATTTTACTTGAGCATCCAAATTTAGGTCGATACCAGCAAAAACATCTCTGAACAAGGTTCTAGCACCATGCCAAATGTGTCCGAAAAAGAAGAGTAGAGCAAACGAAGCATGTCCAAAAGTAAACCAACCTCTTGGATTGTTACGAAAAACACTATCAGATTTCAAAGTAGCACAATCTAATTCAAAAATCTCACCCAATTGAGCACGTCTAGCATATTTTTTCACAGTAGCAGGATTACTATAACTGACTCTATTGAGTTCGCCACCATAAAACTCAACAGTTACACCTACTTGTTCGACACTATATTTTGATTCCGCCCTTCGAAAAGGAATATCGGCTTTAACAATTCTGTCTCCATCTACCAAAAAAACCAAAAATGTTTCAAAAAAAGTAGGCATACGATGTACAAAAAGTTCACGCCCCTCTTTATCTTTAAAGATGGGGTGTCCTAACCACCCAACAGCTATTCCATCCCTATTGTTCATTGAGCCCGCTCTAAACAATCCCCCTTTTGCCGGATTATTGCCAATGTAATCATAAAAGGCTAATTTTTTAGGAATTTTAGACCAAGCTTCTGATAAACTTTGATTTTCGGCTAGCCCAGCACCAACTCTTCGATATATTTCTTGCTGGAAGTATCCCTGATCCCATTGATAATGAGTGGGACCAAATAACTCAATTGGCATAGTTGCCAAACCATACCACATAGTTCCAGCAACAACAAAAGCTGCAAAAAAGACAGCAGCGATACTACTGGAAAGGACAGTTTCAATATTTCCCATATGTAATCCTTTGTACAGACGTTGGGGTGGACAGACACTAAGATGGAATGCTAATATGCCCAATGTCCCTGCTGCAATATGATGAGAGGCTATTCTCCCTGGAACAAAAGGATCAAAACCTTCCATACCCCATGCGGGATTTACAGATTGTACCCTTTCGGTTAGTCTATAAGGATCGGACACCCATATTCTAGGACTATACAACCCTGTTACATGAAATGCGCCAAAACCAAAACAAGCCACCCCTGAAAGAAATAAATGAATTCCAAAAATTTTAGACAAATCCAAAGAAGGTTTTCCTGTACGTTCATCACAAAAGATTTCTAGATCCTAATATACCCAATGCCAGATAGCCGCTAAAAAGCACAAGCCGAAAAACACAATATGTGCCCCGGCTACACCTTCGTAACTCCAAATACTTGGATTCGTTATAGTCCCTCCTGTGATACTCCAACCACCCCATGAATTGGTTATTCCTAAACGAGTCATAAAGGGTATAAGAAACATACCTTGTCTCCACATTGGGTCAAGAACAGGGTCAGAGGGATAAAAAATGGCTAATTCATATAGAGCCATCGAACCGGCCCAACCAGCAACCAGAGCTGTATGCATTATATGGACAGAAAGAAAACGGTCGGGATCATTTAATACGATGGTATGAACATGATACCAAGGCAAACCCATGAAAATACCTCTTATATCAACAAAAAATGGACACTATGTAACTTTATTGCACTATAAAAAACTATACTATGGACCCTCTCTTTTTAGTGGATTATCTCAGGTAAAGGATTAATATTTGTTCTAGTTTTTTAGTAATAACGGAAGAATTCTATTCGTAGGAACAAAAGAAGCAGATCTATTCTATATCCGATAAGTAAGAATACGCAATGGTGGAGGGAGGGGTTGACCGTATTTTATATGAGTGTTTATATCTTTATATCAATGAATGCAGACATATTTGTTCATCACTCAAAGAACCTATTCATAAGAATTTTCCTTTAGTCACTCAGTCTTCTTTTTCTTTTTGTATTTAGGATTTTTTTTATGAATTTATTCAATCTATAAATAAAATATGATAAAGACCAATCATTATTAAGACAATAAACCCATTGTTACATTTCCACATCAAAGCGAGATATACTACTTAATTCAATTCTTTTTTCATTTAATGCCTATTGGTGTTCCAAAAGTACCCTTTCGAAGTCCTGGAGAGGAAGATGCATCTTGGGTTGACGTATAGTATGACTTGTCAGATATATTGGGTTATATGGGATTTCCCCGTTCTCTCCCCTGATCGAGATATCCTCTCTTTCACCCCCAAAAAGATTGATTGATTGAATTAGCAAAAATTTAGAGCATGAAGTATGTAATTAGATCTTTTTTGGGAGGGATATCCAGATTAATATTAGAAATTTACACTAATTTATGGTTGGTGTGGTTGGACTAATAAAATGAAGCATCCAGGCTCTGTTTAAAAAAAACCAATTGGTAATATAATATATCTATGATTACTACTTCTATCATATATTTGTATTTGCTGGAAAACATGAAATAAATTGAAGAAAAGAAGTCGTAGCAAAAAGATGTGGTATTGGAGTATTTGTGCTATATGTGCAAATCCAAATCGGGTAGATCTTTACTCGAAGTAGAACAGAAACCTAAAAGAATTGAATTGAAGAAGCCCAATCAAAAACAAGAAAATTACATCGCGATTTGGATTCGATCTCAATGAAAACAATACATTAATGAGAAGTTAGTTCAATAAGTGTTTAGTACATTCTTTTTTTTATAATTATTATATTAAATTAGAATTATTAAATATTAATATAGAATAATCTAAATATAGATTAATATAGATAAACGGGTCAAAAGTCGTCTTTCTTGAAAAATGTAAGAAAAAGACCTTTTGTTAGAAGTTCGAAAAAGTCTGCTATGAAAAAAGAAAGAGGATTGAAATCTACACATTGATTCTTTTTCGCAATTTTTGGTGAACCGTATGCATCAAAAGATGCATGTACGGCTCCTAAGGGATAAAATCTTATCCTAATCAATCAATTTTATCGAGAAAGACTACTTTTTTTAGGCCAGGGGATTGATAGTGCGATATCAAATCAAATTATTGGCCTTATGGTATATCTCAGTATAGAGGATGATACCAAAGATTTGTATTTATCTATAAATTCTCTGGGTGGATGGATAATACTCGGAATAGCTATTTATGATATTATGCAATTTGTGTAACCAGATGTACAGACAGTATGCATAGGATTAGCTGCTTCAATGGGATCTTTTATTCTCGCAGGAGGAGAAATTACTAAACGTCTAGCATTCCCTCACGCTTGGCACCAATGAGTCTTTTATTTGAGAAAAAAAAAGAAGACTATGCCTTCGCCATATGAATATTAAGCAATAATAGCATGGCACTTCGAATTCGATATGCAAAAATTTTTCAAAACCATTCGATTATGTATCGAAAGAGTGGTATGATAAAATGGGTATTTTCGATTTTATCTGATCTATTAGGAGCCTATTTCAGCGTCACAAACTCTTTTGTTTTTACACCGGAAAGCTTTTAACAATCTTTATGTTATGAAAGAATATGAAAAAAAAAAGATTTTTTGACTTATACTTATATAACTATATATATATATAACATTTGATTTGAAAAAAAGAAAAAAAAACTTTGGGATTGCTAAATAACAGACCAAATAATAAAGCAACGGAACCATCATAGTATTTTTTAACTACTCCAAAACAAAAAAAAGGAAGGGTGGTTGTTGGATCATTTACTGATCTAGGTTGATAGACCCTCTCTATTTTTCTATTTCTTCGATGGAAGGTAAAAACCAATTCCATAGTAGAGCCGTATGCAATACGCAAAAGATGCCTGTACGGTTGTTCAATCTTTGTTTTTTATTATTCTTTATCTCTCGCCTTATCGTATGAGATAGAGGAACCTTTTTTATGTTATATCGTCAGGGTAATGATCCATCAACCTGCAAGTTCTTTTTATGAGGCACAAAGGGGAGAATTTATCCTAAAAGCGGAAGAACTACTGAAATGTGCGAAACTATCACAAGGGTTTATGTACAAAGAACGGGCAAACCTTTATGGGCTGTATCCGAAGACATGGAAAGGGATGTTTTTATGTCAGCAGCAGAAGCCCAAGCTCATGGAATTGTTGATCTTGTAGCGGTTGAATAAAAAATTAGCAGGGATTCAGCGCAAATACACAATTTGAGATTTTTTCTTCTTACCGCTTACCGGATTTAATAGAATATCTCTATTAATTAATTTATTCTATTGATAACTAGAATATAAGTAATATAGAATATAAATAAAGTAATATAGAATATAAGTAATTCATAATCATCGGGTTAGGATTGATCTAAACCAGCTCATTCTATATATGATTCAACATGCCAACTATTAAACAACTTATTAGAAACACAAGACAGCCAATCCGAAATGTCACAAAATCCCCCGCCCTTTGGGGATGCCCTCAGCGCCGAGGAACATGTACTAGGGTGTATGTGCGACTCGTTCCAATCATGGACTAAGACAAAACAGAGGAAACAAATTATTCTGGTATCAGTGATCGGTAAGGATAGAATGGAAAAACTCCATTCACTATCTTAAAACTTAAAAAAAGAATATATTAATAATAATAAATATCCTTTTATTGTGTATCAAATTTATGGTTTTCGTTGGTGCAAATCCAATCACCTCAATTTGAAATTTCAGATGAGAAAGACTTCCCCATTGGTAGCATATGCTTATCCATTAAGCAGGGGAAATTCTATTTCAAAATGAAAAAGCGAAAAGATTATGCCCTTATTCTTGCAAGAACGGACTAAGAGGGTCAGCTCCCCAGCTAATCTTCATACTTAAATACCGTTATTGTATAGTTAGCTTTTGTTGTGAAAGACTTTTTACTAGCTATTTCATGGGTAGAGCCAAAGAGTGTGAACTGTACAAGTTAATAATAGCATTGATTAAATGAGAGAAGGGGCTCCGGTGTATAGAGAGGACCTCGCCATTTAAGAAGTAACCATAAAAATGATGGAATCCACTATTTCTTTATCCATTTCTATTTAATTGTTAATTGAATATGCTTTTTTGATACCTAGTATCAATACAATTTCTTATTTCGAGGTTAAATGCTTAGAAATAAAAAGAAAAAATTGTAGTTGGGAAGGTTATAGTAGCAAAAGCAATTGGAATCTTTTATTTTATACATTGGAAAAATCTGTTTTATTATTAATCCACTATAGTAAAGTAATACACTAATACACTAATACACTAATACACTATAGTAAAGGGAAAAGAAAAGAATAACTGAAAGAAAAGAAATCAAATAGTTATTCATCAAAGTTTGATTTATTCAATGACTAGAATTAAACGAGGATATATAGCTCGGAAACGTAGGACAAAAATTCGTTTATTTACATCAAGTTTTCGAGGGGCTCATTCAAGACTTACTCGAACTATTACTCAACAGAAAATAAAAGCTTTGGTTTCGGCTCATCGGGATAGAGATGGGAAAAAAAGGGATTTTCATCGTTTGTGGATCAGTCGAATAAATGCAGTAATTCGCGAGAATCAAGATAAAGTATACTATAGTTATAGTAGTTTGATGTATAATTTGTATAAGAGGTAGTTGCTTCTTAATCATAAAATACTTTCAAAAATAACTATATTAAATAAGAATTGTCTTTATATGATTTCCAATGAGATCATAAAATAAAAATTCTTCGGAGACTGAACTCCAGGAAGGTAGAGTAGAGATTTGTATGATAAAATAGAATCATATGATAAAGTCGTCAAAATGAGCAACCATGTTCAATAAAAAAAGATTTTTTCTTCTTCACCGATTCCCTTTTTTCTTACATACAACACGATAATCAAAATTGGATTGTCGTAGTTTTCGAACAAAACATCAATCCACATTTGATTTGAGTTTCGATTGGAATTTGAATTCAATTAAAGACTAATCCTATTTTCTTTTTTTTTTGGTTTTAAGACCTGTAGTTCTAGCAGCCAACTCGCTTTTTTCAAATTGTTTTTCATTCTTAAGAAAAGATAACGAAGATAAAATACGAGCTTGTTTTATAACAATCGTAATTAATTGTTGTTGTTTTAAGGGCAATCTATTCACCCGTCTAGATAATATTTTTCCCCGTTCACTAATAAATGACTAATTAAACTCATGTTTTTATAATCAATTCATCCCCCGATTGGATCGGGGGCAAATGTCTATGAAAAGATTGCTTGGATTTAAGAAAGAGTCGCTTAGATTTATCCATATTTTGTTTATTCCTTATCCCGAGAATCCTATTTTGTAAGAAATAGGATTTGCTTTGTTTCTATTTTTTTTATTTATATTTTGAATTTTATTCTCATTTTTAATATTGATATTGAAATACCAATATTGAATAATGTTTTTAAATATATTATTTAAATATATTATATAATAAATATATGGTATTTTTAATTATATATACAAATATACAATTTCTAATTATATGTTATATATACAATCTCTTCTAGAATTTAGAACAATATGAAAAAAATATATCATTTTTCATGTTCCTTCGAGGGGTGACACACAAGTGATCCATTTTCTCTATTTCTTTATCTCCCCGTGAATCGTATGTTTGCAATAACAAGGACAGAATTTTCTCAATTCCAATCGA